TCAGCTATAAAGAAGAAGGAAAGAGTACCAGTTGCAACAATATGGATGGAACTAGAGAACATTATGCTAAGTGAAATAAGTCAGTCAGAGAAAGACAAATATCATATGATCTCACTTATACGTGGGTTGTAAGGAACTGAATGGATGGGAGAAGTGGATGGAGATAGTCTAAGAGACACCGAGGAAGAACTGAGGGTTGTTAGTTGGGAGGGGGTGGGGATGAAGGAGAGGGGAAGGGATGAGACAATACAAATTGGTAATTACAATATGGCATCAGGGATAGAAAAAGACAGTCTGAGGAATATAATCAATAATGTAAATATTTCTCAGGGGGCCAGATGGACTCATGTCCTGTTGGGGAGACAACTTCATAGTCGATGTAGAGGCCTGACCACCGCATTGTATTTCTGAAGCTGATATTGAATAATATTGTATGTCAACTATAATTATATATACATATAGTCTCAGGAACATGGAGTAGAGAGTGGGAACGGATTCAATGGAATTGTAATAGATAAGCATGATATCGGGTGTGGGAGGGCAATACATGGAGGAGGGGGGTTGTTACTTTGTGAGGGTGAAAAGGGTAACTATTGCATTGTTCTGTACACCTGAAACTAACAATAAAAAAAAATCACCACCACGGAATTTCGTGAACCATCGTTGGCACTGATGTTCTTGTAGAGCATTGTCACCATAAACTTTATGCAACTTTTCACAAGCTTGACACGTGTTCTTCCCTTTATGGAAATAAAACAGTAAAATATGGCGAAAATGCACAGTTTGGCCTTCCATCTTCAACTTGTTGTAAAATCTCTAATACTCAACCAAATCGTTCAATTTTTTTTTAGAATGAAGCTTGAACTGTCAGCTGTCAAATGACATAGCAATAACATAGATGCGAATGACTCTAGTACTTCCAAAAATGAACTACCTCCATCTGTTGCAAAAATGCATCATGACTTTTCTGACAACCCAATACATAAAAGCAGGGATGCTTTTCAGTATGGTCACATTCACCGATTTTTTTTTACAGCTGTTTTTTTTCTTAATAAAGTACTGCATTTCGTGGTTTAAAAATGTAATATATGTTACAGCATGTCAGCTGCCTATTTCTAGTTTCTATCAATCTCACCTCTGCTTACTGTCCCTCCAACCCCAGTAGTATCTATAGCTAAGTCTTTGTTAAAGAAATTATGATGTAATAATAATGATCGTTTTTTTTTTCTGTCATTGTAAATCAGCTTTCTGTATAAAAGTTATTTTTGTTGTTGCTTTATGAATGTGCTATTTCCTCACAAAAGCCAAAATCTTTAAAGGTCTCTGGAATTGTAACTATAAAAGGGGAAGATCCATTTTGACTAAACCTACCTGTTTAGTTTATTATGATTTAATCTTTTGAACTAATTTTTACCTTGATTTTTTTTCGAAACATTTTTTCCTATAGGTTTTCTCCGATATAATTTACACAGTCGCAAGCTGTACTGAAAATGAAGCTAGTCGATATGGGAGATTTCTTTGCTGCATGTTGGAGACTGTAACCAGGTGGCACAGTGATAGAGCCACATATGAAAAGGTATGATTAATAAGTACACTTACATTTTACCCATGCATATGACCACTTGCAGTAATCTCTAAGTTGTTAGTTATAAAAAGGAAGCTGAGTTTAAGATTCAGTTATAAAAAATGTTTAAAATCTAAGCATAATTCATCCATTATTAAAAAGGGCTATACATTAATATCATTGAATAAGCTGAACCTTTCTGTAAAAACTCATTCAGATATACATATGTTTTTACATGGAGTCATTAATCTAGTCTACTTACGTTTCAACCTCTGCTATTTTGGGGGACAGAATTTTTCTTTTAAAGTAACAACCTTGGGGCCGGCCAAGTGGCTCAGTTGGTTAGAGCGCTAGCACTGAACAACAGGGTCGCCGGTTCGATTCCCACATGGGCCAGTGAGTTGTGCCCGAGTTAAGCTGCCACTGAGCTGGTGTGGGCTGCAAGCGCACCCTCTCCCCCTATAACTAAGATTGAACACAGCACCTTGAGCTGAGCAGCCGCGAGATGCTGAAGGGCAGCAGCATGGCTCAGTGTGCAACAAGGTTGCTGGTTCAACTCCCACATGGGATGGTGCACTACGCCCTCCCCTCCCCCTGCAACTAGATTGAAAGTGGCGACTGGACTTGGAGCTGAGCTTGCACCCACCACAACTAAGATTGAAGGACAACAACTTGACTTGGAGCTGATGGGTCCTGGAAAAACACAATGTTCCCCTTCCCCAATTCCCCAATAAAATCTTAGAAAAAAAAGTAACAACCTTTTTTCCCCTTAGGAATGTGGAAATTATCCAGGATTCCTTACTATATTACGGGCAACTGGATTCGATGGTGGAAATAAAGCTGATCAATTGGACTATGAAAATTTTCGACATGTTGTACATAAATGGCATTACAAATTAACCAAGGTAAAAAAATGTATTTCTAAAAGGTGGTATTTGCTCTTTATACTCATACTTTTATAATAACAGATTTTAAAATGTTCGTTTTAGGCATCGGTACATTGCCTTGAAACAGGCGAATATACTCACATCAGGAATATCTTGATTGTGCTAACAAAAATACTTCCTTGGTACCCAAAAGTTTTGAATCTGGGTCAGGCTTTGGAAAGAAGAGTGCATAAAATCTGCCAAGAAGAAAAAGAGAAGAGGCCTGATCTATATGCATTGGCTATGGGGTAATACAATTATACTTTAATGGGATTTATGAGACTAGATGACAGAAAGATTCTGAAGACTTTAAAATGTTTTACAGTGGTGAAGTTTATCTTCTGCCTTACTTCAGGAGATTATGGGAGATAATGCGATCATGTTCCCACAGGCTGGTGAGAGTTGCCACTTCTGATTATCAGCTTCCGGTCTATACTGGATGATAATTTCACAAGTCATATATAATAGATCTTGTTTTGGAAGAAATGTAATTTTATCATCAGTTGGGTTATCAGATCTTCAATACTGAAAAAAAAGGCATCTTAGTTTAAGGATTAGTTTATATTGAAATTGTCATTTTTTAAGAACGTATCTAGGTCTGTCTATAAAGACCTTAAGAACTTACTGAAAATTAGTATTTTTTATTCCCTGGAACTAAGTAACAGAGTAAATAACTTGCTAATTTTATTCTTTTAAACCCCATGTTTGTGCTTTTTGATTTGTATTTGTATATTTAAACACTTTGTGCGACTTTCAGCTACTTTGGGCAGTTGAAAAGTAGAAAGTCATACATGATACCTGAAAATGAATTTCATCACAAAGACCCCCCTCCGAGGAATGCAGCTGCCAGTGTACAAAATGGGCCTGGTGGTGGGCCTTCTTCATCGGCCATAGGAAGTGCATCTAAATCGGATGAAAGCAGTACTGAGGAGACTGGTATGCTTATTTGTAGAAATTCATAAGTAATATGCTTTATTTGAACAAACTGAAATGTTTTATATTACATGACAAGTAAAACGCTGGCCTAGTATTACTTTTTTATTCCCTAGGTAACAGTATGTAACTGTCAAGAAGTAATTAATCCTTTGTTTCTTCTAATTAATCTCTAATCAGTTTGCTGTGAAATTGTAGTTTACTTGCATTTAGGGACTCGTCGAATAAAACCTTACCTCTATTTCAGATAAATCAAGAGAGAGATCTCAGTGTGGTGTGAAAGCTGTTAATAAAGCTTCTAGTGCCACACCAAAAGGGAATTCAAGCAATGGAAATAGTGGCTCTAACAGGTAGGAACACTGCGCTCGCTATATGAGTATGCAGATGTCAAAATTCTGAGTTCTTACATGACTAAACTCATTAGATATGAATGGAAGAGGGTAGTAGTTGAATATTATGTAAATCATTTACGTTGGACTTTGACGTTTTGATGATGTGCTTACATCCTCATTATGTTTTGTATAATGTTAAGACTGACTTTGTTCCCACTGCTGGGATATGCAGGGGAAGGTAGGTGGTGAAGTTAAAGCATTTTAGGAGTGAATGTGTGCTGTGGACAAACTGGATAAGAATAATTAGCTTAAGAAACGTCTACACTGATTTAAATCAATGATCCATCCAGCCAAGTAATCTGGTTCCTGATAGTAGCACCTTTGGCTGGCTTGTGGGATAATTTTTGGTTGTAGTCCTCAAAGGTTATGAATTTATTAAAAAAGGGCATCACTTTGATCATTCTTTTTAATCTGCTATTCATGAATTTGATTATTTATTACTTACTGTACTTCCTTTTAACTTGTCTAAAAGTTGTCCTTTAGTTTTCAAAAGGCTAATCTTAGTTGTATAATTTTTTTTTTTTTTAGCTGAGCCATCCCGCCACCTGTTGGCAGCTCACGGCTGCTCAGCTCGGGCTGACTCGAACCACTGTTGCTCAGAGCTCAAACTCTTGAGTGAGCTCTTAACCAACTGAGCCACTCAGCCGGCCCTTAGTTGTATAATTTTTGAAGTCAGTAAGAAACCCTTAATGATCTAAAGCATGAAATATATTTTATGACTGTTTATGTTAAAATCTTGTATTTTTCTTCTTAAGCAGCAAAACTGTTAAAGAAAATGACAAAGATAAAGGGAAAGAGAAAGAAAAAGAGAAAAAAGAAAAGACTCCTGCTACTACTCCAGAGGCCAGGATACTTGGTAAAGATTGTAAAGAAAAACCAAAGGAAGAGCGGCCAAATAAAGATGAAAAAGCAAGAGAGACGAAGGAAAGAACACCTAAGTCTGACAAAGAGAAAGAAAAATTCAAGAAGGAAGAAAAAGCTAAAGATGAGAAATTCAAGACCACTGTCCCCAGCATAGAATCAAAATCGACTCAAGAAAAGGAAAGAGAGAAGGAGCCATCCAGAGAAAGAGATGTAGCAAAGGAAATGAAATCAAAGGAAAATGCTAAAGGAGGAGAAAAAACACCAGTTTCTGGGTCCTTGAAGTCACCTGTTCCCCGATCAGATATTGCTGAGCCTGAAAGGGGCAAGTTTGCCTTTATTTATATTTGTTTACTTTTGCTTTTGTCTCCTTGTTTTGGCAAGTTATCTAGGGACTTTACTGGGGGCAACTAGTACTTGATGACCTTAAAAGTTGGTGATTTTATGAAAATGTTTGGAGAAACTGGAAATATACCTTATTGTGACTATTTCTTTTGTCCCAACAGAACAAAAACGCCGCAAAATTGATACCCACCCTTCTCCTTCACATTCCTCAACAGTAAAGGTTAGTATAGCCTGAGGAAGGCAGCGTCCATGTTAGGCTCACCTGTTTGGAATACGTGTCCTGACTTCCTTCAAGTCTTGTGCCAAGTATTCATTGGAGCCACTGGAGGTTTTATGTTGCATTATAAAATGAATTTTTTGCATATTGGTGGACTGCTATTTTTTCCTATTGAGTATTTTTGTAAAAAAATTGTTAAAACTTCAAGGACCTAGCACTAATTTTGTAGTGTTTGAAAGTGCAAGAGAAATTTTACCCAGAAGTGCCTCACTGCTTTAAGCAGCCTTTTTGGAGTGCAATGGTAGCTACAAGCAAATGAATCTTTTCAGCAGAATGAAGCCTATTTTTTTCGGAATAAATATTGAAGAATGTATAGCGCCGAAGACTTCCTGGATGATATAGGATAAACAAGATACCTCTGAATTCATCAAGCTTCTTGATGAGCATCATACCGATGTGTGCCTTCTAAGAAGGAGTCTTGAAAGGAGTTCCATTTTAAAGTCTCCTTGGTGATCAGTTCTCCTGTAGTTGTGTATATTCAGTGAGCATGCAGCTTCTGTTGTATCTTCCCTTCGAGGTTTGTTTATACCCATTGGGTTCCCAACAAGTTGAACCTTGCGTTACCATAAAAGCAGATGTGGCATCCAGTCCTACCACCCAGCAAAGAGAAACCCCAGGCATTCAACTGCAGCACAAAATCGTGGGTGTAGCCTTCTTGAAGACTCAGGGTAGCCATTCCTTGCTCCATATTTAATTTTTATTCTAAAGTCATCTAATTTCATGGAATCTTTGAATTTGCAGTACGTTGAACTTTAAAAACTGTAAGTTAACTAATTCATCAAGAACACTGTGGTGGAATACCATAATTGATTTCTTTTTCTTTTTTTCAAGTGCTTTTTTTTTTGGTGTGTGTGTGTGTGTGTGTGTGTGTGTGAGGTATGAGATTCATCATCAGAGGCACTTTGCAAAAAAAGTGATTACTCTTTTATAGAATGTATTTTGTTTTCCTGTTAGTATAATGCCACCAAATTTTCTGGTTAGGATAAAAAAATGTGTATATGTATGTTAGAGTCACAGTAAAGTGAAAATTGAAACCTCCCAACTAAAGAAAAACTATGAAAATGTCAGACAGTGTTGTTGTTCTACAGTGACCTCCACTATTTTAAACTTTTTGTGGAGAAAAAAATGTTTTGATTTCTTAAGCCTTTTAATATAACTTAAATGTAACGAAAATTGTGGCATTGACATTTTTTAATTCTGAGCAGAGAAAGATTTTTATTTGTTACATTGCGTACATATAATTTAGTTTTTTAACATTACAATTCCATTACATGGTTTTGCTTTTGTTTTTTACTGTTGATATTCATATAATAATGACATCACGAGATTTATCCTCACAAGAAGTAGCTGGTTTATTTCCAGGTTACAGCCATACTTTCCAAAGTTCCTCTGGGTTCTGAGAACTATGCCAGCTCACCTGTCATCTCCATTCATTTTCTACAGGACAGTCTCATCGAACTCAAGGAGTCTTCAGCAAAGGTTTGAGTCTTTTAAAATCATCATGCCTAAGTAAAGCCAAAAAATTCTTTACTTCATTTATTTAGTAGATACCCTCACCCTAGTAAATTAAGTAAGCTAGTAGAATAACCTTTAAAAATACCTATCACAAACTGAAACAATGGATGGCAATGGTCCCTTTTCATGAGATTGTTATAAAATGTGTTTAATGTGGCAACATTTCTATAATCTTACCTTGCTTGCTGTGTTATGAATTATCCTTTTATGCTTCAAAATCTGGAAATAAATTTAAGGTTTGGGGAAGGCATTGTTGGTTTGTTCTGGGGTGTAGGCTTATTTAATTTCTTAAAACAAATCTGTCAGGCTGTTCTCTGACTTCTTTAGACAACCTGAAAGACCAAAAAATAAATTTGATGCAGTCACATAACTGTTCTAAAAACTGAGCCCATCTCAATCCATAAAATTCTTTATATCGCCTCTGCTGAACTACCTTTTTGGTAGTTGTAGCATAATATCAAGAAATATGGTTAATGTAAACTAATCATTTTCCTGGAGGGGAATACTCAACTTCATGGTTGTGTTTACATGTCAGTATTACTTCTTGCCTATTACTCTATTTTCTTGAGTATTCTACTAAAAATAATGTGCAGTTTGTGTATCTTATTACAGAGTTCTTTTCATTATTGTAGTTGAATTGTCCGTTGTTCATGTTATTTTGTCTTTATTATTATAAAACTTGTACCCTCCTTTACTTTGATTTTCTACTTTGCCTCCTTTTATATCTGCTAAATATGATTCTTTACTGGTGGACCAATACAAAATGAAGTTTTGAAACAAAGTCAGTTGACATTATTAACTGCTTTTAGATCTATAGCTTTAAAATGAAATGTATGTGGATATTGGGCAAATAAGCATTAATTTTTAACAATTTAGATTAGCCAATGCCTGTGTCCTGAAATTGTAGCATTGTTTTCAGAATATGCTGTATTAATCAAGAGTATCAGCTGTACTGTGAATGCTTTCTTTTAAAGTAAAACCTTTTATTGGCTAAATTAAATATGTATTGCAATATAGTAGGTTTTCATAACCAGTTTGGGATTGTGTATGTCAGTCTTAACCATCAGTGGTTTATGTGGGCTATTTTAAATTAATGGATTAACAATGTTACCTTGTATTTATTTCCTGAAACATACTTTGAAGCAGTTTGAAACCTGCTGTTATAGTTAACTGGATTTTCTAATCAATTATGAAGATTATGGTTCCTTACATTTGTGAAAGCCTTTTGAAAATAAAACATATGTGAGAGAAACATATGTTATCTTATTTCATGCTCATTACAGTGCTGTGAGGTAGATAGGACAGGTGGTAGTGTCTTTTTGACAAATAAGAGACTAAAAAAGTTCTTGATCCTTGCCCAGTGGCATATAACTTGTCAGTACTAAAACTTGGACTACAGTTAAGGTTCCTCAGGTGTTCTTACCACAATGAAAAAAATTATAAGAAAAGAAATTAATGGCTCCTTGATTCTTAGCACTCATTTCAACAGTAGTTGACAGGGTTCCTAACTCCTGTGTTTGTCTTGTTTTTAATCATAGTGATTCAAGTCACTCTTCCTACCCCCTCCCTTTAAATAAAGATTGGGAGTTTTTGTGCATTTAAAATTCAGTAGATTCATTTCACATTCAACCAGAAAACTTTGAAAATGGCAGGCATATGAACACACTTGTAAAAATTTTATGACTCATACCACTTTTCAGATCCTTAGTACTTAGTATGGTACCTGGCAATATTATTCAGTGTTCAGTAAATATTTGAAATGAACTCTTAGATCTTTGAACTTTGGTAAAGCATCCAAAGTTGACATTTTAATAGTGTATGAATAGTAAAAGAATTCACTGGACTTTGAATGATCTCTAAAATTGATGATCTATGTGCACTCACTGTTCCTGGGGTAGCTTTTACTTTTTAGAGGACTTGAAAGACGTGTCTTTTTTCATGTTGTCTTGTAACTCTTACATATAAAATTGTTCCCCTGCTTTAGTTTAACCTTTTAGTTATGCCTTGGGATCCTCCTTTTTTATATAAAATTACTTAATATTTTTACTTTCTAATCCATATTAAAATGTAATGCATGGACTTGGCTTTTCAAGTAAGATTAGTTAAGGGAGAAAACTCTAGTTTAGTATCCAAATATTTTGTCAGTTCACTGCCCACCCCCAATTTCTAATTGGCGGTTTGGGTCAGTTGTGTTTTTACCTGGCAATCCTACCAGCTACATTTGATGAAGATTGTGTGAAAAGTATGCTCCTCTAGCCTAGTTTCTCTGTAATTTAGGAGGGCAGCAATAACCACCTCAGATGAGAAGGCAGCTTTTAATTCTGTTTACCATCTTAAAACAAGCATTTACAATCAAACCCAAGTCTGCAAGTGAGGCCATCTTTATATATTTGTAGCCTTAATCAAATCAATGTAACAGTGTTCTCTTAAACAGATTTTGAAAATCAGTCATTGTTTTTCGAACCTAATGATCCCAATGTCAAAAATAAAAGCAAATCAAAAACAAAATTCAACAACACTACATGCAAATCAATGTAACAAATCATTAATTTTATTTGACACACATGTATTGAATATTCACTGTGTACAAGGCACTAATAAGTGTTTAAAAGTAGAAAAGGCACATTAGCTTTCCTACCATACTGGAAACTGTTATGGACAAAAATAAATGATATGAAATTAACAGAACACCTGGCACAAAAAAGGTTAATATAAAATAATACGAGTTCACTGAAAAGTGAGTTGCAGAGTTGAGGGACAAACTGCCTGATGGCTTTTGAACCGTCTTCGAAGCCTAAGTAGGATTTTAAGAGATTAAGGTAAACGTGAGCAACCATACTGGTGAAGAGAATTGGGAAGGATGTTAGGGAGCAGTGGTAGCCACAGCACCGAGTGCATTAGGTTGCTCCATATTAGGATATAATTATGCAAAGATTGCGAAGAGCTTGGGATACCTAAGTGAAGGAATATGCATTTTATTCCATAGGTAATGAGAGACTATGTTTTGTGGAAAATAGTATTGTGATCAGAATTGTTCTCTTAGAATGGTAGAAATAAGGAATAGAATTGAGTACATTTCTAAACTAAGAATTTGTAGGTTTCTCAATTCCTTGCAATACAGAATTCAAGTTAGGCACAGTTAAAAATGTTCTTGTGGGGAGTGGGTTGTACACACATGCGTGTTTATTTGTAACCACAAACTATTTTTTTGCCTTATTGGGAAAATTAAGCAATACTTCCCTTAGAGAAATCTTCTTTGAGTATTGCAGTAATATTTCTTTTGTCTTATCAGTTTCATGATATGAAATACATCTCACCATTCGAAAATCTTGAAGTGTCATTTAGGGCATTACACCCAGCAAGAGTACATTCTGGACAAGCACTTTTATGACTGTTTCTCATTCTCTTGCTCTTTGTTATTAATGAACATTTTGTCTATTTCAGTTGATCATCAACTTTTAAACTGAAATTTTAAAGAATCTACTTCTGCACTGTTATGGCAGTATTTCTGAGCCAGCTGAATTGAAAATATTTGGTGGTGTTAAAAAATAAGTGTTTCTTTAATTCTCAAACTGATGGTTGTCTTTTTTCATGTATTCCTTTGAATACCAAAGGATTTCCTCGTGTAAAAATATTTGGCTTTTGATTCTCTATTCTTTTAATTCCTAACGTATATCTAGAATTGTGTAGTTACGTAATAAGTTATATTCAGTATTCTGCCTAAAACTTTTAGTGTCTTAAATTAAGCATAAGCTTTTAATACAGTTATAAATGCTGTAAGGTTAGGTATCTGATTACTTCCTTAATATTTTCTTTTATAATGGATTTTCATATTTACAACTTGCATAGTAAGGTTAGCTCTTAATTATTTAGAGTTAGCAAATCCTTGATCTTTGGCTGTTTTATTGCCAATGGGCCTTTTGGTAGAGGAAGAATAGGCAGAGGAGAACACTGATTCATCATTTTTCAGTCTTTGAATTGTTATATCATCCTCAGCTGACAACTAATGTTGCTGAGTTATTTAGAACCAGTAAGACAAATTTCACAGTTAGTTGTGATTATTTGATAGAAATTGGAGTGCTCTCAAAAGTATAGAATATGCAGCCTTTACATTCGTAAAAATAATTTAGGTTAATCTATGCATGGTGTATGCTGAGGCAGAAAAACTTATTAGTCAGTCATGGCTAGGCTTTATTTTATACTTTTGCTCACTGTCATCTGTTGCCTATCAATAGATAATAAAACTAGTTAAAATTTGCATGATTGTGTAGAGGTTTGTATTTTTTTTGCAGTAAAGTCCAGTAACTATTTGCCACATATTGACTCTGGTAATGGTGGTTATAGGTCTTCACAGTAGGGCTATAAAAGGAACTAGAGCTTGTGAATTTATGAATGAGTCACAGTTGAGGCAGGAGTGAACTGATTGACTTTAAATGATAATTTTTATAAGACCAAGAATTGAAGTCTTTGCATAATTTGTGCCATGTTGTTTTATTTTATCTTTTGTAATCCAGACAGCTGACCAGTTTTGACTTTGGGTCTAACTACCAATTGTCTTTCATTAAATAAACAATCAAGCAAATGATGCCCGTACTGGAAAACTAATAATCTTTAGTAATATTGCCTTAATTTAACAGCTCTACCTTAATCATACTCCTCCATCACTGTCCAAGAGTAAGGAGAGAGAAATGGACAAGAAAGATTTGGACAAGTCAAGGGAAAGATCCAGAGAAAGAGAAAAAAAAGATGAAAAGGACAGGAAAGAGCGGAAAAGGGTTTGTAATTTTTAAAACTAGTTTGGAAATCTCATTATCCTGTACAGTGGTGTGTTTGTTGCCTTTTTTAAACTACTAGTTTGTTGCATGGCAATCTGTTATTTAGTGTTTTAACTGGTATTTTCTCCCTAAAGTGTGTTTGCATCTTCTACAGTAATAGGGAACTTCAACCTAATAATCTCTTCCAGCACTGCTTATCTTTCATGTCATTTTACCAAGTATATGAAACTACCACAAATATTCTTCAGTGCTAGTTAACTGTGCCCTTTTTGTAGAAAAATTATTACTTTGAAACAAAAACATAAACTCTTGATCAATGTAGTTCACAATTCTTGGTTCTAGGATCACTCAAACAATGACCGGGAAATACCACCGGACTTAAACAAGAGGCGAAAAGAGGAAAACGGAACAAGTAGGTAGACTTATTAATACTTTTGAAGCAATTGTCAAACTGAATTGGAAAAGGCTTTCATGATTTTCTTTTACAATTTTAGTGGGGGTTTCAAAACACAAAAGTGAAAGTCCATGTGAGTCTCCTTATCCAAATGAGAAAGACAAGGAAAAAAATAAGTCAAAATCATCAGGCAAAGAAAAAGGCGGCGATTCATTTAAATCTGAAAAGATGGATAAAATCTCCTCTGGTGGCAAAAAGGTAAATTAGGAAAACAAAGAATCAGTGTACTTTTCTTAGAAAATTAACCCTTTGAAAATTTAGCAAGTATTGAGGTTTATTCTAGTCAAATAGCCTTTTGTTGTTTGGGGATGGCAGCACGAGGCATTAGGGGAGGGAGGGGACGTTATCTGTGGAATTCCAACCAGTTCAGTCCCAAATTACAAATTACGGGGAGGGTAGAATTAGTTTACCTCTGAAATTCCTTTCCCCTCTATTAAACTTCCCCCTACTTCTGTTCACTGAGTTTCAACCTTTCTTTTTGTGTTTTCTTTTTCCTTCACCAACAAATGCTTTTAGTTTCTCTTCACTCATGTGATTAAAATATGGTTAGATGTATTCTTGCTGATCGCTCCACTGTCATAAAGTTTTTATTAACTGTGATTTTAGATCGCTCCACTGTCATAAAGTTTTTATTAACTGTGATTTTAAACTTTTTTATTACAGTTTCTTCTAATAAACGTATGTTTGTAATTTGTAATTGATTTTAAAAATAACTGTAGTGTGCATTATTCTCTTAAATACTAATGGACGATATTAAAAATATATCCCATGCATCTGTCATAAAGTAAGCAAGTTGTTACTAAAGTGTAAAGTGTTTACAAAGTGTTATTATGGTATAGATTCAAAATATATGCCATATGTTTATAGTTCTAAAAAGCAGTTTTGGAAAATTACAAGGTGATAGTTTTAAAATTTCTATATGCTTTAAAAGGGAGGCTGCGCCTGTTAAATAAGTATTTTTTTAAATTGAGGTAAAATGCACGTAACATAATATTTACCATTTTAAATTATAAGTTCAGTGGCATTTAGTATATTCACAGTGTGCAATCATCATCTCTATCTAGTTCCAAAACATTTTCATCATCCCAAAGGGAAATTCCATACCCATTAAGCAGTCATTCCTCATTTCCCCCCTACCTTTATCCCCTGGCAACTATTCTACTTTCTGTCTGTGGATTTACCAATTTTGGATATTTCATGTAAATGGAATCGTATAATAATGTGGCTTTTGTGTCTGATTTCTTTCACTCAGCATAATGTTTTTGAGATTCTTCCATGGTGTAGCATGTATCAGTACTTCATTTGGCTAAATAATATTCCATTGTATGACTAGACCACATTTGTTTATCATTCGTCAGTTGATGGACTTTTGTGTTGTTTTCCACCTTTTGGCTATTGTGAATAGTGCTAGTATGAAGTATTTGTTTGAATACCTGTTTTAAATTCTCTTGTGTGTATACCTAGGAGTAGAATTTCTGGGTTAAATGGTAATGCAATGTTTACCTTTTTGAGGAACTGCCAAACTTTTCCACAGTGGCTGCACAGTTTACATTTCTACCAGCAATATATGAGGGTGCCAATTTCTCTACATCCTTGTCAACACTTGTTATTTTCTGTTTTTAAAAATTATTTTTATTTTACTTATTATTATAGCCATCCTAGTGGGTATGAAGTGGTATTTCATTGTGGTTTTGATTTTTGCATTCTTTAATGACTAATGATGTTGAGCATCTTTTCATGTGCTTTTTGGCCATTTGTATATCTTCTTTGGAGAAATCTATTCAGATGCTTTGGCCATTTTTTAAATTGGACTTTGTCTTTTTGTTGCTCAGTTGTAAGAATTCTTTATATAGTCTGGTACTAGACCCTTATGAGATATGATTTGCAAATATTTTCTCCTATGCAGTAGGTTGTCTTTTCACTTTCTTGATAGTGTTGTTTGATGCATGAAAGTTTTTACTTTTGATGAAGTCCAATTTTGTTGTTGTTGCTTGTGCTTTTGGTGTCATATTAAATAAGTTTTTGAAGAAAACTTTATGACTGGTGGGTGATTGAAAAGGGATTTTGAGCTGATTTTTATATTTGGTGTTCCCTTCCCCAACTAATTCCACCATTCCTTATAGGAGTCCAGGCATGATAAAGAAAAGATAGAAAAAAAAGAGAAACGGGACAGTTCAGGAGGAAAGGAAGAGAAGAAACAATATCCTTTTCATCTTATTGATGCTTTTAATCAGTGCAATGAAAAGCCTTGATACTGGTCATATTTTGAATCATTCCCTTGTGGCGTAAATCGTATGATTGTGGCGTAAATGCTTCTTTTAAATGGTCTCTCCATTTAACCCTCTCAAATGTACAAAATGTGGAAGTGGGAGGCTTGATATATATTTTTTAACTTCTTTGGTGACTGAGGTTGTTTTATGCCACCAAGGGATTTAGAGTCCCTCTGGCTATGTTATCACTGAGAGGAAGAAAGGGAACACAGAGTCCCTTGGGCTGGGGGTATGGGGAAATGAAGGGCAAGATGGTGCAGTCGAGTACAGCTGGTAGAATTTGAGGCTACCAGGCTGGTCACAGCTAAGTAGGCCTGCAAGCTGAGGTATTGTACTAAAAGATGAGACACCGTACTTTTTTTTTCTTTTTTTTTTTTCAAGTTGTTTTCCCTTAATTTGTCATCTACTCATAAGTCCTCGGACAAGCACAGATAATGAAGACTTTCAATCAAGGTGAGTGTTCTCTCACCTCCTTTTCATTTGAAGGGAAATTTTTATAAAATGAGGTCTGATAATGTTGAAGAAGCTAGATCCATTTTGCAGGGTACAGCTAGAATTTTTCACCCCAATATAATGACTAGGTCTTTGTGTATAGATACAAAACAAGAGTCACACTTATTTTTGAGCTCTTTTCATTTTAAGCTTGTTGATTAGCTATGCATTTTTTTTTAGCACCAAGGTGTATTTAGGAATATCTGGCTTTCTCTCCACTGCTAATTCCCATCTTGTCTGGATACTTAATTACATTTTTAAAGAGCCTATAGCCTTGTTAGGTGGTGGAGGTATCTGCATTTTACAGGTAGAGAAACTGAGACTGAGAGGTTAAATTGAAGAGGGTGACAGATAGTAGCTGGCAGAGCCAATACTTAAACATAGGTCTTCTTGCCCTTTAGTGTAGTCTGTTCCTTTGGCCTTTTTCATGCAGACATGTTATTTAGAGATTTTTTGTTTTAGTTTTTGTGCCTCTTTTTCTACCAGTGCCCAACTTTTGCAAAACCAAAAAATATGGTCTGTGCTTTTAGTTCTGGAATTTAAAATATGCAGCTTTGTTTTCAAGGTAGTTATTATGCCTTATGTGAGATTTATCGTGTTTTAACCATCTTAGATAAATTGTATGTGGACAGTAGTCCACTGTCTTAGTGTACAGTGAACCAAATACAGACTTTTCTGAGCACTCAGGTCATCATATGAATAGTTATTGTTTGGTGATGCCTTAGGATTGTTGAGGTATGTAGGAGATTTGCCCTCTACATTTAATGGTTCAGTATGGCTGTATTTGAAGTTATTGATTCTTTTGTGTAATCAATTTTCTGGTTTCTATATTAGTGGTCACTTTTTGTTTAAAGATTTTATTGGGGAATTGGGGGAGGGGAACAGTGCTGGGGAATCGGGGAAGGGGAACAGACAAGTTGCTGTCGTTTTTGTTCTTCAGTCTAGTTGTGGAGGACGTTACTTCACTGGCCCAAGTTGGCACTATCATTGCGCTCTTCCCGGGTGAGGCAGATCAGTCGCAGGCTTCTGGATGGCCGCTCAATGCGGCTGCTGGCTACACACGGTAGCCCATGGCAACCCACTGCCACAGGGGCTGCAGCCTACGCCGTCGCTGGCGACTCACAGCAGCCCAGCTCCAGGTTGAGCTGTTGTTCAGCATCTTAGCTGTAGAGGGCAGTGTCACTGGCCCTCATACGTGGGATCCGAACCGGGGCCCTCTGGCGTCCCAAGCCAGCTCTTAACCATCGCGCCACTCGGCCGGCCCCCAGCTGTAACTTCTTAATGATATAAAGTATACTTGCTGTCTGTACCCTACCCCTCATATGACCTGCTGCTTCTAATCTTTTGTGAAACCAGATAGATAACCAAGTCTGTTTACAGGTATTTATGAGAGAAATGTCTGAGAGCCTGTTGTGTATAGATTTTGTCATAGTTGTTTTGGTTGCAAAGCAGGGACTTGAGGCTGCTAAATAGGTAACCTTGTGAGTAGTGGTGAGCTTTTTCTGCTTTGTTATTCTGTGCTTGTTGTCTAAGTAGTAGAATAGGGTAAAATGAGGGCATTTGGAATTTAGTGATTTTTAAAATAGCATTGTAAAAGAAATAAGCATTGCCCATTCTTCCATTGTAGCCCTCCCCTGCCCCAACAAATACCTGTCTTCCCTATTGAATTATAAACTCTTAGTCTTCTTCTTTTTCTAATTCTTTTTTTTACTTCTTGCTTTCACATGGTCTCCTTATTAAAGAAAACCAAAAAAAAAAAAACCTACCTCTTACATCTTCGTTAGTAATGGGCCAACCATAGTCACTGACGACTTTCACTGTGATTTTATCTGTCTCTTCACTCAGTACGTAAATATTATCCTTTGGTATGTGAAGGTCATGCTACATATTTCTTTGAGTTCTTCTTTACACAGGCCATTGATTTGTACTTTGCCTCTCTATAGAATCTCTCAGGACCAAAGGCATGAAACTACTGACCTGGGTGTTAGATGATAGGTTGGTGGTATCCATTGAGATACCCTTTTAAGATACATTTAGTTTGATGTTCATCCTGTTCATTTCGTTGTTGACCAGTTATTTACTGTACTTCCTTTCTGGCTGTTTTGGCTGCCTACTATTGGATTCATTGTAGGGTTGGTCAGGTCTTTCTGTTGTTCTCCCTTTACCTTTATTAGAGGTCTCATCATTTTGGACTGGCATTATTTACCTTTAGGTTACTTCAACTCTTTTGCTCCCTACTCCGCTTTTTCTTTATTTTACATTCTACCAAAAGAGAGCTGCTGCATAGGTCACATTTCTGTGATTCAAATATGTCATTAATTGTAAGATTCATTATTGGTTTCTAGAACTGTTTTCTGAGAAGGGTGAATAGAGAAATGACTGACTTGTAAATATCACCCTGATTTTCAGAAACCTTGAAATGATTGCATTAGAATTAAGAAAATACAGTGTGTAAATGTGACCCAGTTTAAATTCCTTCCAAAGTCTTTTGTTTTCTTGTTTCATAATTTCAGTTGCACAGTTCTTTCTGCTTGTTCTCTGTATCTTCTGTTACTTCTTATTGCTAAAGTCTTTGTCCAAATTCCTTATTTCTCTTTGATTTAGTCCCTTGAACACTACTAGCTGCTTTGCCTTTAATCTTTTCCTCTAACTATTAAAATTTCCTTCTTAGAACCATCCTTTAACGTTTTAGTTTTGATTTCACACATGTGGTCCTTAATTCATGAATATTGAGTTCAGCTAACTTTCTGAGATTCATTTTTATGAACCAGATCCTGTGCTGAACTGAGCCTTGCTCCCAGACTTTGAGAAGCTCAATCTTCTTCAATTTATTCTTGATTTCAAAAAATATTAGCAGTTAACTCTATTATATCCATCTATATTTGTAATATACTACATTCCTATTCTAATCCTCCAATCCAATGAGACCTAATATATTTTGCAGATCCATCTCTCACCTCAAGTCTCATATGTGTAACCAACTCTTTTATCCTTTAAACCCAAAGTTGTAAATACTCAGCCCTTGGGCATAATGTGGCTTGTTAGATGTACCCTTCTGGGACTCACAGCAATATTTAACATTTTTAAAAAGTGGTTCCCTTTAAAAATCAGGAGAGTTGACAAAAATTTAAATTTCAGTTTCTCTTGACGAATTGGCATATCTGGCAATATTCTGTCTTAATTTCTGCGTGGCAACAATTGGCTAGACCTGCCTAGGCGCTGCCCCCCTTATGTAGAGAATGGGTCTTTTTTACAGTTTACCTCAATCAGTTGCTACCGAGCTTACTTTGTTTCCATGATATACTAACCTTTGTAAACAATGTATTTTGTAATTATTGTTATGAGTGTTTTTTTCTTCAGTCCATACTTGGAAACTACCCTCCTAAGGGCTCGAAGATTGCTTATTTGGGGACTGTGTTGCCATATTGAGGCATAGTCCTAGATGCTGGTAATATGTGTTGAAGTAGGTAGTGTTCATTTAAGTTTCTTTCTCAGTAGTTTCCCATTACTTACATGTGTGGGGCCTTGCCTACAGTGTCCTAGTCACTGATTCTTACATATATATGAGTATGTTACATACTCCTCTCCTTAGATTGTAATCTTGTTAAAGGCAGGAACTTCATCCCTGCCTTCTAGTCAAACAACCAAGTGTTTTATTTATAACCTGCTATGTTTCAGCTACTCTGTTTACATGGAGAGCTATGTACAAAAGTATTAAGTATATCTCTTTGGGGTTGATAAGAAACAGCACTGACTTCTTTTTGTCCTCAAAAGAAGGTTCCATTTATTTACAGCATTTGATAGTATACTGTTCAAAAAGAAGTTGCTTTGTGTGCTACAACGTATTTTTTGAGGGCAGCATTTTTATGCTTTCATTTGGGTCTGTATGTAGTAGCATTGAATGTGTACAAAAGTTTTGCTTGGTTGAAATGATAGATACAAACTATTTTTCTCTTCGTTATCATCTTTATGCTTTTAAAAGTACTGGGTGTAGCCATAAAAAGTAAAAAAAAAAGTACTGGGTGTGAGTTCTGTGCACTGACATTCATGGGCACCAAACAGTTGGAGAGCACAGGAGGAATTTCCCGTTTCATCTCTTCCACTTAAGGTAGACCAAAATATTCACTAAGGGGCTGTGCTGTTTTTTATCTGGACATATAGACATGAGCGCTTACAAAAAGCTCCCATACCACATGTACCCTTGAGTGTGACTATCCTCTACACACGCATTTATCCTGAGAGGCACTGATAGGTATACAAAGATTCAGGTCAACACAATCCCAGTTTTAGCTCCAAGTTACATTGTATCTACATGAAACATCCCAGGAAGTGTGTTTGCTATGTTAAGCATTCCTAGGTAGCAGTATAGGATAAATGAAGGAACACAGTGGAATTAGGATGGCTGTCCCTATGTCTTTCTCCTATAACTTCTTTCTTCCTCATAAATGTTCATTTGACTTTTTAGCTGTCAACTGCATCCATATATGAGTTTCTACTTGGAGTAAGTATAAGTGAATATGAGAGAGAGAGAGGGAGAGAGAGAGAGAACTAGGATCATGAAATCTTGACAGTTTCAGACACTAGTAAAAATGGAGGGAACTAAATTCTGGGATGCCTTCTTTGAGGTGAAGGCACTTAATGAAAAATAATCTATTAATTCAGTGGGCTTGTATTTTATAGTTTCTCTAAAGCATTTTTTTGCTCTCAAGAGTACTCTTATGAGGAATCTATGAACTATTGAAGCTTTTCTTAGATCCTTCTTGGCGAATTTGATCATAAAATTAGAGCGCGCGCACACACGTGTGTTTATAAAAGCATACCTCTGATAAGAAGGCTGAATTTATATTTGTCTTTCTTTACTTTGATCACCAGTCTAGCTGCACTTTTCTCCTGACCACCCTACTTTCCAAACTTCTTGCTGTCACAGCTCTCTATAAAATAACATCATTTAAAATCAGCTGCCTCGGCCCTAAGGGAGTGCTCTTTCATGAGGTCATTTCATGCAGTTTTCTGATGGCCTGACAAAGTAGTAGGGCATGGTAGAAAATAGGCAAATGCCAACCTAATATGGCAGGGCTTATTTCTGGCAAGAAAAAAGAGGAAAAAAACACAAGATGTCCAGATAATTCCCAATAGAAAATGATGTTAATAAAGGTAATCTTGTCTTAGCAGAGTAGAGGGACACTTTTTGTTGGAATGTATCCTGCAAAAATGACATTACCAATGCAGTTTATAGCACCGATAGAGTAGAGTTGTCTAGGATGGAGGGCAGCCAACTCTGAACTGAGCCTGATGTAGAAACCCTTTGAGAAACATCAACTGTCCTAGGCGTGAAAAAGATAGATCAGTGTGATCTCTTGCATTCTTACTTACAGTGGTTAAAAGTGGCCCATATATAAAAAAAATAGTTAATAATAATAAAAAATTAGAGAATATTCCAGGTAATATGGTATAAACTCATTGTTAATGAGAAGAAAATACGATTCTGCTGGAGGATAGAGTCCTGAAGGCTGAGTTTGGGACTGTTTCATCACTATGTGACTTCCTTCTTGATGGCAGTTTTCTTTCTGAAGTTCACTGAACTTGGGGCGGGTTTCAAGTTTGTAATCTCAACACCTCAGCACTATTTTATAAATACACTCGGGACACTATTGAGAGACTGACATCCAGTATCTTCTTTCCACTTGCTCTTGTGCTTGCTGATTTGTCATTCCAGGGTATGGACAGACCCCTAAGCTGAACGTCTCCCAGAGGAGGATGCCAAAGCTCCACGCGTCACTCTCAGAACGATATCTCCCATAATTCAGAGCTTCTGGTGCTGTCCATTTAATGGGAATCTGCTTTAAGTCAGAAGATGAATACAAACCGCCATCCTCTTGATGAGACATTCCAAAGTCATTGATTTTCAGAACATTATTTTCACCTCCAGGCAGTTTCTTGAAGCAAGGTCCCTGTGCATACAGTTTTTACGCAAGATTCGTCATCCAGAAGCAGCATCTAATGAAAATTTCACTAACTGTTTTAGTTCATCCTTCTTTCTCAGAAAGGAGAGAAAATCGCCTCCTGGAAACAGTTCCTTAATGATGTAGATAGGCTGTATTTGTGTGCGAACTCTTATAAGTTTGACAATATTGGGATGATTATATTGCTTGAGGATTTTGCCTTCTTGTAAAAATTTTAATTTCACTTCCTGGGAAAGAGCATCTTTAAATGTTTGAACAGCAATAACAGTTTTATTCTTTAATGTGCCCTTAAATATGTCATCAGAATTTCCCTTGCCCTGTAATTCTCCTGCTATGGCATCTTCGTGATTGAGAACCTATTTCTTATTCTAATTATGGCCATACTGATACCATGATACTCTTTATTGGAACATTGACTTTTTTTGCTATTTAAAAAATTGAGATGAAATTCACGTAACATAAACTTGCCATTTTAAAGTGGTTTTTAGTATATTTACTATGTTGTCACCCCAAAGAGACCCAATGCCCATTAGAGTTACTCCCTATTTTCCCCTTCCCCCAGTAATACTTTGGAAATGATTTATTGTATTTTCTGTTTCTATAGATTTGCCTGTTTTGGACATTTCATAGAAATGAAATCATGCAATATGTGGCCTGTTGTGTCTGGCTTCTTTCACGTAGCATCATGTTTTCAAGGTTCATCCATGTTGTAGCATGTATCATAACTTCATTTCTTTTTATAACTGAATAATATTCCATTGTATGAATGTATACCATATTTTCTTTATCCATTCATCAGTGATGGACAGGAATAATGATTTTTAAGTATTAAAATTGTAAGTTCAACATTATTGTATCCACAATTAAATTGATAATATCAAGATTATACATGGTGTGAACAGAATGTTGTATAGAAACGATTATGTAAATTATTTGTTAGCATTTCATGCAAGTGTGATTATTTCCTAAGGCTCTTCTAGCTCTGATTTTATGAAATGTGAATGTAGTATTTTCATCAATAAAGTTTAATGCATTAAGCATTAGTTTAAAAATTGAATGAGAAAAATGTTAGGCAGATAAGAAGTTATTTGCCACGTGTTGTATTAATCATGTTTTGAATTTATTTCAATATGCAGTATTTGAAAAATGTCAATACATAAAGGAAAGGAAATGAGTATAATTAAGTCAATATATTTTTAAAGCAACTTTTATAATTTAGCAGACATTGCATCTTAATATAAGTCACTATTAAAATCATGTCCTTGTGAAAAATGTGATGTCATTTTTTCTTTTTTGTTGATCATGTAAAATTGGTTTCTTCTCATTGCTGTGTTCTGTTTACTTTTCACAAGCTATTGCTTGCCCCTGTGGAATGTTTTTCCTGTTTCTATTTCATTTTTCCTTCTTCCTCTCCCCCCACCCCTCCCTCTCTCACAGTCAAAAATGTTCAGCATTTTGTTAAGTCATCATAGTGTCCCTATCTTTAGTGGTTTCTGAGAGGGAGCAATGGGAAATACACAGATATTTCATCGTTATCTTGGGACTTAATTCAAGCCTTTGTTATTGACAGAACTCATAAATTTTTTTTCTTTCTTAAAACAACCTCCCTCCCTCCCTCCCAACCTCCTTCCCTCCCTCCTTTCCTTCCTCTTTCCTTCCTGCTCCTTCTCCTCCTCTCTCCATCCCTCCCTCCCTCTTTTTTTTTTGAGCTGAGCCATTCTGCCACCTGTTGGCAGCTCAGCGGCTGCTCAGCTCAGGCCGGGACTCGAACTGCTGTTGCTCAGAGCTCAAACTCTTGAGTGAGCTCTTAACCAACTGAGCCACTCGGCCAGCCCTCTCCCTCTTTTTTACCTCCTCTTCTTGCCTCTTCTTTCTCCCCTCCTCCCTTCCTCCTTTTCTCTCTCTTTTCCTCCCTCCTTCCATCCTTCTCTCCTTCTCTTCCTCCTTCCCTTTCTCCTTCCTTCCTCCCTTCCATTTTCCTTCCTT